ACTCTGTAGTCATTTAAAGTCAAAGAAAAAGAACGTATATTCAGATCACATAATTGCCTATTTTTAATTACATTTCAAATGCAAATGTTATGACTGTTGGACCACTTCAGCCAAGTGGGCATTACTAAACACATATATGAAACCGATCTGAATAACCTTTGATTCAATTCTGGATAACAATGCTTTTGCACATGCTATTTTTCACCAGGTGACCGAATTAAAAATGAATTTCATCACCTCAAAACTCATCTCCCAGTGCTACACAGATGTTTAATTCAGTCCCTTGGTACTCAGGGTTTCAGCAAATCTCTGTTCAGATCAGCATGAAGGTTCTCATTGACTTAAGGCAGAGCTGGCCAGGAGTAAAATCTCCATTTGGGAATTCAGTATATGCATCAGTGCTACTAGACATTACATAAACAATGTCTTAAATCTAGTGGGCATTGCATAGGAAATCAAATAATAAAAAATATTCTTCCCTGTTCAAGAATCAAGAGTAAGTTAAATGAAAACTGAAGCTGTCAGCTTTTGACGGGAGAAATGGTGTCTGTATCTGAAACTTCAGATTCCATTTATATAGGGACACAAGCTTAAATGGAAAATGGTATTCAGACACAGTTTCAATAAAAATTGCATACGCAATGCCACCCAATCAGCCACTTTACATCCTTCCTGCTCTAAAAAATACTAAATGGTTCTAACCTCAACTCTTGAGTGAATATAGACATATGTGCAGAATAACATGGGCTGTATTATAGATTAAGGTATGAGTAAAAAAAGCTTCCTATAAATTCACCCAGGCACTAATGTTGCTTTTGAAAACATTTGAGAGACTTTTTTCTACTTTAAAACATTGCTACGGGCTCACTGTCCTTAAGGGCCCATTATCTCTGATACACATAAAGGGGTCCTGCAGGTTGTACTGAGAAGTAAATTCTACTTACTGACATTTTTGCTTTACATAATGCAAAAGCCTTTATTGTTTTAGCATGATTCCTCATTTCTGAAGCTCTTTTCTGTTGACTGAGCGAATAAGAAAACAATCAGAAGATTTTTTTGTTCTTCCACTTACATGTCAGTGATTTAGTCTGTTGTGTTCCCTCGCTGCTAATAGGGTTTAGAAGCAGAAGTCTCCTTCATTTCACGAGAACCGTTAATCGGAAGTCTTAGGTTGGAATTGCAAATAAATACTGTGTTATGGAATCTGTTTAGAAACACTGTGCCATCATTAATATTCCATAACAAATCACATGGGTTGTAGATATTAGTAAGACAGAAAAAAAATGTACAGAAAAAAGCAACTAACCTGGCAGGAGTTGGGAGGGGGGGGGGGGAAAGCAGCCTACCACATAGGTTTCTAGATGGCAGTTCATTCCAAACCATTTCAACTAAACAAAATGCTGGATGTACATGAACAGCAGGATTCCCAAATAAGTTGAACAGCTCTGTCAGCAAGTCTCATGCAGCCACAGTATTTGTCTCAGTACAGTTGGTCTCACAGCAATACAAATTTCAGAGGATAAAATAAAAACCACATAAGGCTGCAGTGCTGAGCATTTTCAGCCTTGCTTCCTTTACTCTGGTCTTTTTAGTAACCTTATTTACTCTCTATATATTATTTTAACTACTCTGCTGTTATTTCCTTGATCCTAGCAATAAAATTTAATCCACAGGTGGACAGATAATTATTTCTTCAAAATCCCATGTCTTTATCAAGACTCTGTGCTGCCTCATCAGTCTTCCAAAACATTGCTGGCCTGCAAGATGAAAGACTTACTTTGCTTTCCTAAAAACAAGCATATTCAAGAAGACTTGCATGAATTAACTGCCTAGTCAACCTTCATTAACAAGATTTAAAATTTTACTTTGAGTTTCCTGTCTTTTGTTAACCCCTATGCATTCATAACCAGTGAATACACAATTTGTAAATATTCTTCTTATATTATGAAATAATTTCTATATATATATAAAGAAATGTATTAAATATGTTGAAAGTCTAAGGGTAGAAAACAGTCTTTTTCTTTAAAAATACTTTAACTGCAACAAGTGATACTGAATTATAGACAGTGCTGCCAAGAAATACTTTCAGAAATTTTAAAATAAAATCCCTCAATTAAAAATTCTGCCTACTCAAATAAATACCAGACAAGTTTTAGGATGAATTTGCTTAAATCTGTTCTTAATTCCTGATACAACCGTGCTCTGGTTCTGTTAAAGTTTACAGCTAGAATTAATTTAGTCAATGACATTTCATACGTATTCAAGCATACCTACTATGTAACACTACATTTGATCATGTCTGAACACTACTGACTTTACAATGTTCAAAAGGTGTGGACACCTCCTGTAACTTGTTAGAGAACTAGTTCCAAAATATTCTGTAGCAAGCAAAGCAAAGGAAGTGTCATAAGAACATAGGTTTAAATTTTGTCTCCATCCATTCCTGCTACCACAAGACAAGGAAAAAAAAGTGTGAGAGTATTGCAATAGAAAGAACAAGATCAGCATCGCTTACTTGTCTATCACTAATGCTAGAAAATAGAATATGCACACAGCACCAATATGCACAATGGGCTCCCAAGCAGCAATCATGCTTGAGCATGAACGGTAATTTAGCGTTACCAGGTAACATATCCTTTAATGCTGGCTAATGTTGATATGCTTACTCTAGACAAAGCACAACACAGAGATTGAAAGAAAACCTTTGCTTGAAAGGCCTTGAGAAAGCTCTATATTGTAATTACATCAGAGAACCCTTCTGTGACACCAGGCATTTGAAAATAAGCCTTACTGAAAAGAAAACACAGAGCTCAGGATACATATCACAAACTATGGTCCATGGAAGTATTTCCACATCTACTCTTCAGAAAACAACGGCAATATCCTCTCATCTTGCATTTTTGAACCAAGATATACATACTGGCTGGGTGGAAGAAGCTATACAAATTGCAGAAAAGAGAGAAAACATGAAAGAATCAAATTTCTACTAGTAATGAAGAACAAGGTGTTATTATAGGTCAAGGTGATAAATGACAAAACAATCTTAAGTTAATGTCACATCCATTGCATACTAAGAAAATCAAAAAGTTAAAATATAACAGTCTCTAATCTTTTCTTCAAAACCATTTGTAAAATTGCAACTTGTAACATGCGAAGTTCCACACATCTAGCAGGCTCTGTCTCTCCAGGTTTGAGATGAGAGCAGTCAGGGGACACTGTGGTCAAATGAACTCTTAATAACAGGTGAGAAGTATGAGTCAGTAGAACTTGCGAGGTCTTTCGAATAGTGTTTATTAAAATTAAATTAAAAAAAAATAATACAACAAGCATGGTTTTTCCACTGAGAGTTCAAGTCTTCATATATCCAGCAGAATTTGTTTGTAGAATGAACTTTAAATTAAAATCTATCACAAGAAAACAATGAAGCATGGCAGTATCAGAATAAAATAAATTGCAGGGTGAGGGATGGGGGAATACAAAACAGTCTGTGCAAGGAGGGAAAAAGGATGAAAAACAGAAAAAGCAGCTAACCAATTATGTTACATAAAACATAAGAAGCCATAACCTATGTAAATCCCCACTCAGTCATTTACTTTATCACTCAACATCACTCTACTTGGAACAACTTTCTTCCATAAAGCTTGACAAAGCTGGTGTGCCAACATAAAAGACAACTAGCTTTTCAATGTCCAACAAACCTTTATAGAGAGATGACATTTAATTACTTCTTCAATAGCTGACAATTTTGTATGTGCTATGCTGTATCTGTCCATTTTAGAACATTAACTTCCCAAGGGAAGTGCTGGAATAATGCACTATATAGTTTTTCACCCTGAAAGCAATTAGTATAATAAAATCAAAGTTGGAATCAGTGTTGCAAAAGAAGAAAAGTTATGTTTATAGAAAAAATAACTGAGAAAACAAAAAGATTATGTCAAACCAATTTTCAAATCACTTTTTTTTTTTAAAGAAGTACAAGTAAAACTCTGCAAGAACCCTGACAATCTGCCCCGTTTATCTGCTTTTTCATCTTTAATAACACACACTTCACCAGGAATTATTTTCAAAAAAGGTAAAAGTTAATCACGTAACTCACCTGCATAAAAATTGATGGAAAGTATGTATAGCACCAGGAAAAAAAAACAACAAAACTGATCCTAGGTTATGAGACATGCTTGAAAAAGCTAATCCCAAAACTTCTAGAACAAGCAGATATTTAAATGCAGGACTCCAGACACGTGAGCTTTCCATAAAACTTGCCAGAAATGTACTTCAAACTACTCCTTCCCCATTGCTGCTTTTCTGTAAAACATTAAACCTATCCCTATGGGAAAGCTGGTAGCTACATTTCATCGGTCTGCAACCCCACCTAAATCCATGCTCATCCCCAGTTTGAGCTAAAACACAAAACTTTATGAAGATAGACAGACACACTCTCCCTTTAACCTGTTCTATGTCCAGGAGAGGAAAATAACATTGGAAAGTTAATGGTGAGATTTTGTAAGGCTGTAACTATTACTTCTCATCTAAGCTCACTGAGCTCACTCTCCCCTCATCCTGTGCTGGATTCCAACTTGGATCAACTATAAATGGTCTGTAAAGAAAGGACAGTGTATTGGCTGTTCTCACACTGAACAGAAACTTACTGCGCATATAGTTGGACAGCTTTCAAAGGAACCATACTCAAAGAAATGGACTCCAATGTAAATATATAACTTGTCCTTTAGAATATTATTATTGCCTATCTTTGTATCTTGAATCTCATCATTTTCTTTGTCTTGGTATTGGGAGTAAGGAAACCCATGAAATCTATACGTTAGATATACGTTTTAATGAAATCTATGTTAGATATGTAGCAAGGTCTTTAACAGTTGCTGATGAATATATTTTTATTGTTACTATTTTAAACAAAGACTGAAAACTTGTTATTAACTAAAAAGGCTGACAATGCTGGTGTCAAAAACAGATTCAGAATACTAAATGTATTTGTAAGCACTTACCAGCAACTGGAGATAATATTTTCGCAGCCCTGCTTCCTTTGCCTGTTAGTGCTTCATTCCTTCTCTTCAGGGACAGGCTGAAAGGTAAATTTTGACACAATCAGCCCAGATATGAAGAACTGGAACAGGAATAAAATTAGAAGAAAATTCTGTCTAGAAGTGTGAAGGCACGTAGGAGATATTGACAATTTATCTTATCTTATAAATGCATCTGAAGCATGAGATATTGATAAACATGTTCTTAATGCACTATTATGAATGCTGGCCAGAGCTCCAGGGACAAAAACCTGATATTGACAGAGAATAAAAGATCAAAAATGCGAAGGATCATGCAAAATTAAAGTATTACCTTAAAGACCACCATTACTACAGTGCTCTAACACAGGTCTATTATTTTCCTCATTTAAATGAAAACGTTACTCCATAGTTTCCTTCCCACATCAGAAATACTCTCTTCAGATTTGCTCTTTTTTTCATATTTAAACTTTTTTCTGGACCAAAAGTCAAAGCTAACAGAGCAAGATGTCACATAGATACATAGCATCATATAAAAGGGAAACACTTCATAAATGGAAAGCCACATCTCCCCTCTCCTCACCACAGTCAGAAAATTAAAACAGGCAAATTACTTACAACCAACCTCATCCTTACTGCTTTACACATGTATCGTAAACCACTGTTTTGTTTAAACCTTCCTTCAGTAAAAATTCAAAATATTAGTGTCCCACGTGTACCCTTTGCAGAGGTCACATCTTTCCCTAATTACATGCTTTCCACACATTATACAAGACTCTCCGCTTTTATTTTACCTTGCATAATAACTCTTCCTACAGCAGCTCCACTCTAGCTGATAGCAATGAGATATCTCCTTTTGATACTTTGCTTTAGGAATTGCTTCCAGGAAATCACCACTAAATGAGTATTCATTAGGAAACACTTAGTGAAGTGGAAATTCAGGGAGGACTTAAGCAATAGCCCATGACTTGGGTGGAGCTAGCCCCTGTATCGTGGGCCATGCCCACAATCCAGGGAACAGGGGAAGAACCAGGATGCACACCAGCTACAGGTGGCCTTTGGTTTCCCATACCTGGAATGTGAGTCTGGGTAATTGGAAAAAAAAAAAAAAAGAGAATCCTGCAGAAAAGTGCCTGATGTGAACGAAGCAATGTTGCAGCACTGAAAATCAGGGATGAATAGCTTGACCTTCACCTTTACAACCACCACATGACTGTGTGCATGCTTTTACACGTATTTGCATTAAAAAAATCATATATGATACAAATCACACATACAATAACAAATAAACTCAAGAGAAGGACAAACTTTGCTCTAGCAAGATGTCTCAGATGCAATCATAGTCCTTAATTAAAAGGCTGACAGTACCCTCTATAACCAGCTCATCAACTGCAAACCACAAATCAGCAAAAAATATACAAGGGGGATGGCTACAGAGAGATTATCAGTTACTCTTAAAGTATCAGTCCTTGTTTTCTAGCTAAGCTTGCTTTCTGAGCTAAAAAATGCAGTATCTACTTAGAAAGAAGAAAAATAATCAAAATAACTACATAAGTTAGCCTGGCTAGATGACAGCTGTGGACAGTACGATGATGGCGTAAATAAGAAAGGAGAGGAATTACACACAGTGACCCCAAGAGGCATAGCTGAAATAGCAGGATGAACTTACGTAAGAGGGTGGCTTAGGCTAAGCAGCAGAAAACATTACTTAACAGCAAGACATGATATGAAGTAGATTATTCTTCCCATGGAAAAGGAAGTTATTTAAGACTGGACAAGATGAAACTGGAAAGCACAGCAGAGAAAGCACTTGTGAATTGATGAGGCCATGGATGACAACGCTTAATAAATAAAGCCTGTCCTTCCCTCTTCCCATGATTAAGTTTCTCAGTAAAATTTCAGTATAGCAAATGACCGCACTGGAAATACTTTCACTCCTTGGCTCCTGGTCCAGAAAAATACCTTGGATTTCATCAGCATTAAGGTCAGATGTGTCACATGCATCCGATGTAGCTATTACACACAGAATTATTTGAACATTATTAGTAATATTAATCCCCTACTACTTATTCTTTGGCCTATTCCTGTAACAAAATTATCTTTTTAACTCTGGACTGCTATAGCATTTTTTATTCAAGAATTTCAAAGTATTTCATAGACACATGTTTGCTATCATCATCTTTCAAAATAAACAGTGTATGTCAACACAGCACATCATTGATCCAGATGTTATCTGATGATTGCTAAACTGCACTGTCCAGCTGCTTAACATGATACACAATTAGCAGGCAATACAATGGCCATGAAACACTCTGGTGTTGCACATGGCCACAGGAAATTACAGAATTAAAACTAAGGTCAAAAAACAAAAACAGAATTTGCTGTTCCCTCCATTCCCTCCAGTCCAATACCTGCAGCACTAGCAATCAGGAACTAGCACAGATTTAAGAGCAATGATAAAACAGGAATTTCTTGACTTGAGTAAGTATTACTTCAGAAAACCAACTGCTGGATTCAGGTGTGCTTTTTTCTTTTTGGTGTGTTATGTTTGCTGTTTTGTTGTTTGGTTTTTTTTTTAATTATTATTGCTATTCTTAAAGTCTTACTTTACAAAACATTCTGCAGTTCAGTAATTCAGTTCAGAAAGAAATGGGGTACATAAAAAATGACAGAGGAGAGTTTCCTCCTGCTTTTTCTTCCCTCTGAACTCTTAAGTAGAATTTTCCAAGATGCACAAATAACTCAGGAGCAGGAATGAATTTGAAACACAGAAGTTTCTCCTGATTAAAAATTTCCTCTTATGTCCTGTCCTATAAGACAATCAAATAAATATAAATTAATTAAAAAAAAAAAAAGGCATAGTTACAAGGCTTCCTTTTGATACTGTGGAAATTTTGTTCACTATTGGGAATGGTTAAATTGTAATTCATTACGTTTGTGAGTGAAATCCAAAACTTCCCTTGATTTACCACCCTTGTTTTAAAGGTTCTACTCTAGGATGGATAGGATCTCACTGTCCATCAACACTAACTGCAGGAAAGGAGAGAGAGAGAGAGAAAGCACCACAACAGCAGGGAAAAGTTAACAAGTTTTCACAAACGGGAAAATAATAATTAAGAGATGATAATATCACAACAATCAATTATCATTCTGACCCCAAAAGAAAAATAATCAACACGAACAGCAGCATAACAGGAAAGCACATGTTCTCTTAAAGTGTTGAGTGCCATGTCATAAAGCTGAGATAGTGTACCGCAAGGAGCAATTTGGCAACGTACAATAGAACATCCAATATGTACTGAAGAATATAACAGCTGTTTCCTTTCACACCAGTCCACGGTCTCTTCAGGTATGTCATCCAAATTCCCCTTCTTTTTCTTTTAAGCAGCTACAAATTCAAAATATTAGTAACTATTCCAAATATCGATACTACTCATCATTCTCAAATTGCTTATTTATCACAAGAGATGCAGAAATGAAAAGCACAGGCCATTTTCCTCCCTCAGACCAAATGCCAGAAGTAAAGATTTCCATACAAATGAACACTGACCAACCCCCTTCAATGATATGCACGCCTGCAATTAAAAAATAAATCTCTTCTCCCATCCCCATAAATGGTAAAAATAAAACAGCACTGAGTTTTAAACCAGAGGTGTTTTTTTAAAAAAGGGAGGAGGAGAATTAAAGAAAAACATCTTCCCATGCCTTGACTGGTGACTGGTCCTGACTTGATGTCTAAACTAAATTAAGGTACGGATTCCCATTAGACAGGAGTAGACAGTTTAAGAAAGCCATCTCTTCAGCTTCACCATACATAGGCTCCAATATGATGTCACAGGACACAACAGCGGTCATTTGGGCTGAGTCTGTGCTTGAAATTCTCTGCAGGCTTGCAGTAATGCACCTAAACATAAGGCAAGCAGGAACATGCAACCCATCATATTAAAATTACAGACTTCAGTCATAACAGAGGTAACGTCCACTTGCTACAGAATGACGGGACTTCTGAGGACATAATCCATAGCTTACAAGAAAAAGCAATAGGAAAACACATATGAAAATAATTTTTTCCAGTCAACAGCACTAGTTTGACTGCATAAAGAGAAGTTCTGGCTTAAAAATTGTTCTTACCTCCTGACATCAAATAAAGTTTAAGACAGAAATGGGAAACAAGAGGAGACTTCTGAGGAAGGCCTCAAAAACATGACGCCTATCACAGTGCCTCCCTGGCTTGCATTTTTCTATAAAAATGCAACTTTTCCTATAAAATTTCTAGATTTGGTTTATGATAAAATGAACATCCAAGAAATTTGGTATGTATGGAAAATCTCAGTTTCCAGCAGCCTAAAAGGGCTTTTAAAATATAGCAACCACATAAGCATGCATGCAAAGATGAGTTTGAGAAGCTCCACTGATATCTCTATTATTTAAGAACTACTTTAGTTCCATGCAACTGCATCTGATATACAACCGGCACAAACAATAATACGCAAACATGTATATAACAAAACACAGGTTCAATCCACAACAACAATTTAAGCACTTTTGCCAGAGACACATGTGTCTATATATATACATATATATATATAAACACTGTATGTACAAAACACACTGTGAAGAAAGTAAGAACATGTAATCACAGAAATCATATTATTGATATTATCAATACAGCTGGGGCAAAAGACATCTAAGTTACAAAGTCAAATTTCTTCTGCAGGGGCAAAACTCTCAGCAAAAAAGGATGCTATGCATGTGGTTCCCAGCAACAACAGGACTGGGATGCCTCAAGCAGACACAACAAAAGAGGTGGTTAAGTAGAACAAGTGCCCCAGCCTCACAGCAGTGGAAAATAAAGTCTAAGATTTACCAAATAAACACCCATATAGAACCTATATGTTCTATAGAGCCTATATAGGTGTTTAGAACATATAGAACAGATAGGTGTTCCTACAGAACGCCACAAATAGAACCTACTTAAGTTGTTGGGGTAACCTGTTGGTCTGTGGACCGTACAATACTGAGGCACTGTGTGTATGGGCTGCTGCCTGGGCACTACCCCTTCAAGGCCAGTTTTAAGACACGTGGGCCTGTGTGTTAAACTCACCAATAACACCAGTGTGGTCATTTCTCATGGCTATGGAGAAATTACGAGAAATGGTAAGCGGAGGAGGCTTCGTCTTGAAAATGAAAGTGCTGAGGGGGGGAAACCCTGGTTAAAACGGTGAGAGCTTCTAAGGGAGGTTAATTTAACCAGTCTCTGAGCTGTAGTGATACAGATGAAGCATTAGGTATGGTTTCATTCCACTTGAAATGGGATACTGGAGGAGGCATGCTCCACACGCACAGCCCCCCAGCATGGCTGTGGCTTCTGCAGTTCTGCAGGGAGGGCGACCCCACAGCTGCTCTGGGCAGCCTGTGCCAGAGCACAGTAACGCAGCGTTTCCTGCTGTTCGCGTGAAACCTCCCGAGTGCCCGCCAGCTGCTGTTTATTTCCAGGCCTCGCAGCGATCCCAGCTCCACGCTGCACCTTCCCCCCCCCCTCCACAGGGCCACAGCACAGACCCGCAAGCACCCCCCCAGCTCCGCCCGCCCGCCGCCAAATGCCGCCCGGCCCGGGCCGCCCAGGCTTTGGGCCCCCTCGGGCCGAGGTCTGGCGGCCGTGTCCGCGGCAAGGCCCCGCCGCCACTCACCGCCCCGCCGCGCCTTGCGCCGCCGCCCTGCCCCTGCCCCTGCCCGGCCGCCGCGGGCGCCTGGGAGGCGTCTCCGAGAAGCGGCGCGGCCCCGTGCGCTGCGGGCGGGGACAGGCGGCCCGGGCGGGAGGAGCCGCCCGCTGTCGGCAACATGGCAGCGGCCAGCCGGGCCCAGGTGCTGCGGCTCTACCGGGCCCTGCTGCGGGAGAGCCAGCGCTTCGGCGGATACAACTACAGGTGCCCGTCCCTGCGACCCCTGGGGGGGGAAATCAGCGGGGTGGGGAGGAAGAGGAGGAGGAGGAAGGGGCAGCCCGGCGCTGCGCGCACGTCCTGAGCTTGGGGGGCTTGGAGCAGGCGAGGGGGGGCTGCCCCGTGCCCGCTGGAGGTGGCTGGCTGCAGGAGCTGCTGCCCCGCAGGGTCCTGCCCTGGGCCGGCTGCAGCCCTGCCCGGGCTGGGCTCGCTGCCTAAGCCCGCTGCCTCACGCTGTGCCCGAGGTCGAGCTCAAGGTGTGGAGCACGCTGTGAGGTGCGCTCGCCCAGCCACGCAGGTTGCTGGATGGAGTGGGTGTCTGCTTTCTGTGGTTAGCTGTGAACGATGGGCAGCAGCATTTGGCCAAGGGTACATCGACTTGTGTGCTACAGGTACAGGCCTAGTCGCATTTGGGTGCCTGGTCATATTTGGGTACCCACAGGCATTCACAGGGGCTGCTCCCCATCAGTACGGGCATGATTACATTACCTACCAGCAGCAGATTCACTTTGCCGCTCCGCTGAACCGCAGAGACATGTGAGCTACCTTTGTTGTGAATCACCTCCAGCCTGCCAAGAACCATGGAGCTGGAAGCAGAAGCCTTTGAACTCGCGTAATGGCAGGCTCTGTACTATTCAACAAATAACTATTCCCCAAATTTTAAGTGCAAGAAAGTGCCCTGAGAGGAAAGGCTGCAGGGCCAGACCCCAACTGGAGTGCAGAAGCCTTTATTGCTGACTCCTTGCAGCTGTGCATGTGTGCATCACGTTCCCCTCCTTTAGTTCCCCAGCTATCAAAACTTCCCCCTGCTGTCTCAAGGATCCCAGCTTGCTGTTACTCTGGATGGCAGCAAGAGGATCACATGTATTGGAGATGGCTTGAGGCTGTGAGAGGTGTGGTTGGTGAGCTGTTGTGTGTAGTTTCTTGTCTGGGCCACAGTGTTTCCTCCAGCAATGTGTTTGTGCTGGGGGCCGTCAGCGAGAAAGCTGGCCCTGCAGTGCTGGGAGGAAGCAGGCCAGCAGCAAGTGGTGGCACCAGCCTCACAACATATGCGGGCTGCTTCTATCCCGCTCCTTTCTTATGGAAAGCAAGGGATGTAAGAAGCTGCTGTCATCTCTTCTGTGTAAACTACAGTCAGAGTCCACACCCCCACCTAGGTTCCCCAGAAATGAGATATGCACTTGAGGGGGACTCAGCTGTGTGGAAATTTTGGCTTACAGCTCAAAGACCAGGCTGCCTATCACACAACAGCAAACATACCGGTGAGTGTTTTTGTACTAAAAACAGATTTTACAGCACTGAAATCAGAAGGTATGCATTTACCTTGGGTATCTGCTATCTTTTGGTGCTACATCAAGTGTAAGCTTTCACTTTTCTTAAGAAAAGATCTTGCTTAGTTTTGTGTGGCCTTGTCCTTAGATACTATAAAATTGGCAAATGCATAAAGTCTTGGTGTGCATACGTGTTTGTGAGCACTAAACTCAGCAGCAGTTTCTAGTGGGAACCAATTGGCAGCTATTACACCTAGGGATCTGCTGGGACCACAACAACCCTTCTGCCTTGGTTTTTATGCCGCGCCCACAGCTAAAACGGACAGCCTGTGAGCTTCTTTTCTGATAAGCAGTTCTGCTGTGTCCTTGGGGCTGCTGTAACGTGATATTGCCGTACCCTGGAGTAAACTTAGTGACTTTGTAAAGAACCGACTTGTACCAAGGTAGGACATACTGAAGATGAATCCTATTGATTCGTGACTTCAGCTGGAGAATTTCAGAGCACGGTTGCAAACAGTGCGTATTTATAAGTGTACATCTGGAGGATGATCTGCTGGTTATTGGCTCCTTATTTGCTTCCTATGCTTTTTCTCTGAAGTGTGCACGTAGATTGTGATGTAAAATTGAATATTTTTGTTGTGTAAATTTTCTATTCTACATGTTACCTTCTAATACCAAATTTTCTACTGGCACCCCAACAGAACTTTTACTGCTGTAAATGTGAAAAATAGCATTAAGATCTTAAAAGTAGCTGTGGTCACCACTGACCATCTTTAGAATAATAGCACTCAGGATCATCTCTGGAGTCCAGCACTAAACATTATGGAGTGTTCCACAGCCCAGGTGTGCTGGCCAGGTTTTAACAGCAGGGGAGGATTTAGTAGACAGTAAGTAATTCCTTGTCTGCCATTCTGCCCCATTACCTATGCAGATGGTCTGAAGAAGGAAGTGTGATTTGTACTGGTGGAAAATCAATACATGAAGGTGGAAGATGTTAAGAATTGAGTCAAAAAAAGGTTTTTTTTAATGAGTGTACTGTTTTCTCTGCATGGTTGACCATCCCCTGATGGTTTGTAACATGTTAGATTACAATCTTAATTAAATTCAATTAAGGTTGTAATTTCTAAATAGAATTGCATTTGCAATTTATATAGCAGCTTTATATTATATCTTTTTTTGGTATGGAAAACAAAAGGATTTATGAACCTGTAAAAACTGATAAAACATTTGATAGCCAATGTGAATAACCTGAACTTTGAATTTTTTTGTTTGTATAATGTGGCTGACACTCAGTGGTCAAAACTCATTGGAATTGAGTGGCAGGGTAGTGCAGGACTGGAGCAGGTCACCCAGAGAGATTTTGATGTTTCCATTTCTTAAAGTTTTTGTGACAGGTTTAATAAAACTGCACCATGGCTGACCTGGCCTTGCTGGGGGTAGACCTCCTTCAAGTAGGAATTTGGGTTAGACGAGCTCCAGAGATTACAGCTAATGAACACTATGATTTTCTGGTCCTCAGTCTTCCTTGGCCTATGAAGAACAATACTGACTACCAACTTCTGAGAAACATCATGTTACTCCCTTCCTGCTGGTCTCCTTTCTCACTTTTTAATTTCTTGTAATCATGAGCAGTGTCACAAGCTTCAAATCCGTTTGCAGAAACTTTTTGCAAATAATTTGTTTGTTTAAGGTGTTGTATGGTTTATCATATATTTGTTGTCCATTTTGTTCTGTTAACTGGTGGATATTGTATTTTTTCCAGTCTTTTTCTTGTCCATATAAATCACATTTTAATGGAATTTGATTTTTCTGTTAGAATGTGCAATATTACCTGATTAATAAAACTACCCAGAATATAGAAGAACCAGGGAAAGAAATAGGTCAAAACAGCATTTGCATTGGAAACAAGTGAATTAAATACACTCGATTCCATCTGAGCCGTGTCCTTCAAGGTTTTGCAACTAGTAAATCTGATTTTTTTTCAAATCTCTGCCACCCTAAGAACATCAATAAGCAAAATAAGTTATGCTTTTTTTTTTTCCCAGTGTCAGTTGCTTTTCCTGCTTTCAGTGATATAACTGGTGATGGGATTTTGATTTAATCTTTTTCAGAAAGTGCTTAGCACTTCAACAAACTTTGTTTTCCATCAAGTGATACTTGACTGGTTGCTCTTCAAGTTTGCAGTGGTTTAACTTTAAAATTTCTGACAGCATATCTGACACCGAAGTGCTACTTCACCTTCTTTAAAAATAGACTATTGTAAGCTGAGCTTTTAATACAAGGCCATAACTTCAGAAGTAATATTGAATAGATTTGTTTTTAAAAGTAAACTATTTTTTTTTGTTATTTTTTACAATGGATTTTATCAACGTAAAAAATCTTAATTTTAAAAATCTCAGAAGTTGCTTGTGATAAACGTGGCTTTTTTCTTCTTATTTTGAATTAAAGCTCTGGAAGTGAAAATCTAGGGCTTCTATGTAGGGCAGAGCGTTGTTCTTAAGCTGGTTTTAGTCATTTGGCATTAAAGCTGTTCTTCCAAAAAATGTTTGATTCCTGTGTTTTTGCAGTAGGTTTAATATCTCAATTTACCATAAACAAAGTGCTTACTCTTTTTATTAGTGACAGTGAGTCTAGGTGGGTAGTAAAAAAGTCTCTTATTCATGTTCACTAAATTTGGCCTGGATGTCCAGATATACTGTATGTGTAGAGGTGGTAACTTACTGACCTAAGGTTAAAAATATCTATATCTATAAATAGATAGATATCTAAATATATATAGATATCAATAGATAGATAGATCTATAGATATATATGTATACTGATCTATATTTAGAAAAATATTTCAGCTGACAAACATTCCTGTGTATGCAGTAACTAATCTGTTTTTTTGCAAACAGGAAAGTGAAAGAAGGTACAATCTTGGGTGCCAGCTGCTGTTGCGTAAAGATTGATCAGGACTTCGGATTTAAAAAAAAAAAAAAAAAAAAAAGGGCTGTCATTGGACAAGGGTCTGGTTTACCAATGCACCATTTCTGGTTGTTTCTGTTGCTGTTTAACTATTGTCTTTTCTGTTTTGAGTCTTCTTTTTAACTGCTAGCCAAGTTAAAGTCTTACTCAGATACTGAGTGTGCTGATCAACTTGTTGGGCTAAGGTAAGGAACTGGGACATAATAAGTAGTAATAAGTAGTATGTCAATATACTACTGTTTTAATTTTTCTATACTCTGTGTGATACGATTCTTAGATATTAGGCAGTGGAGAAAGATGTGAAACTTTGCTATAGGGAACTGCTTGACCGTAAATTTAACACAAGATATTCAGAACAATTCTAATCATGTTCATCTTCTCATCTCCCAGATGGAATTCCAGGTCTTTAATTTTTAAGAAGTGTCATTAAAAGCTGTTTTGTGTCTTATTACATCCCATTTCATCTTTCTGCCTTGTTTTTAATCTATCCTCCAGGTGTGTTTTTTGTTTGTCTGTTTTTTTGGTTTTTGTTTCCTTACAAACTTGTTGTGTTGGTGCCTGTAGTGTTAAGAGGTGTTTGAGTTGCTAGAGAATTAATGCAACCTTTTCTTCTACTCCCGCTGCCAGCTGGGCACAGGTGCTGCATCCAGCCCCTTAATACCTTGTGTCAATTAGAATAAAATGGACTTTTTGATGGAGCATAAATATACGATAAGTACATCACAATTGTTCCTTGATTTCCTTCTTCCT